CTGCACCTGCGGTGAACCCTCTTTCGCAGGATATTGCTCGATGGCAACAACACGGGCAATTGAAAGTGTGTACCACCTTTCAGCATCCTGATCAGAAGGTGTCCGTTCGTTCATATCTCTCATCGATTGTCTCACCGCCGCACAGCGCTCCCCTTAGCGCTCCGGAGGGAACAAGTGGCTTTGTAAAACTCCGGTTCCCTTTCACTGTGCATCGCTGCTTGTCAAAAGATGGCAGTCCTCGTCATCGCACATTTCCATTTCCCACCCTCTCGAGGGTAAGTGCACCGATAAGCAATATCGGAGCAGAGTGGGGCACTGGATCTCTTCCATCCACGCCACCAGGATGGGAATTTCGGTGCGCAAGGGAGTTGCTAGGCGGGGAAAGGTTTTCTGAGTCGCTTTCTAGTAGGATGGCCTCCCACAAGCCAAAGCCAAGCGAAAGTGGAATGGACAGAATTGGTGTTGCACCTCTTCCTCCTGAGGAATGTCCTATCGACGAGGATGAGGATGTTGTTCTTGCCGACTTCACCCCGCCATTGACGGAAGGCATGGCCGAGGGTGTGGATGCTACATCCCTGTTGGCTTTTGAGGGGGATCTCTATGATGGGGTCATTATTGATCCCACATGTCTGCCGGCGGACCGTGACGTGTTCCTCTCAAGACTACGGTCCTCTTTGGGACTATGGGCAAGTCAGCAGAGGAAAGGCGTCTGGCTGAAACTCCCTAGGGAAAATGCTAACCTTGTTCCCTTGGCCATTTCCGAAGGCTTTGACTACCATCACGCTGAGCTACACTATGTAATGCTTACCAAATGGTTACCTCCAACCCCCTCCACTCTCCCTCCTAATGCCTCACATCAAGTTGGAGTTGGTGCGTTCGTTGTCAATGACAAGCGAGAAATCCTTGCAGTCCAAGAGAAGTACGGTTTTCTGAGGGGGAAAAGCATCTGGAAGCTTCCGACAGGACTCGTCAGTCAGCAGGAGGATATCTGGACAGCAGCTGTCAGGGAAGTTAAGGAAGAGACGGGAATTGAGGCAGAGTTTATGGAGATTATCACTTTTCGTCAGGCGCACAGTGCTGCTTTTGGCAAATCCGACCTCTTCATGATATGCTCGCTGAAGCCGCTTTCATTTCAGATAACAAAGCAAGATTCAGAAATCGAAGCTGCACAGTGGATGCCACTGGACGAGTTTCTTGGACAACCATTCCTCCAGACGCGTGACATGTTCATGCGAATGCTGATGCTCTGTGTGGCGCATCTTGATGGCCGTTACAAGGGGCTTAGGCCAATCAATGTGCCAGTTGGGGTGGACCCATCCTCTACCAATATATATTGCTGTGATTTGACAACTGAAACTTCAGGTTTCTTTGTAAAGCCGCACTGACTTTTGGGATTGCGCACAGCTCTGTCCCAATTACTGGGTTGAAAATATCCCTGATAACACTTCTCTTTGACGCCTTAGGAAAGAGCAAGGAGCTCTGCCCAGGGGGAATGGGGAGGGAGGGGGGCTTGTGTGTGTGTGTGTGTGCGTGTGTGTGTGTGTGTGTGTGTGCGTGTGTGTGTGTGTGTGTGTGTGTGT